CGTGGACAGCCACCCTAAGCATGTGGGTGGCAGCTTTCGGGTATGCAGGAATACCTACATGTCATGACCTGATCGCCTACAAGCTTTAGGCGGCTGTTGCCTCCACCATGGTGGTCTCGGCTCGTTCTACTCAGTCATCCATCATTCCAAACCTTCCTCAGATGATACTCTAATGTTTGCTAACTCTTATAGACATCCTTCAATGTCAAAAACTAACTTTGTAGGAAAATTTTCCAACAATCATCCACCATTTTCAAAAAAAATTGTCACTATACAAAAATTTCCCATATATACGCACCAAGATTGTGAATAAATGAATGTATCTTTTGGAGTTGAACCTCCACTTAGTAAAAATTCCTCAAATGCTAACCAAGGAGGCATGGTAGCTAGACTTAAACCAGCAAACCCTATATGGCTAATTGAAAGTACTCCATGCACAAACTTGAACATCTTTTAGTATTCTTAAAGCTGACTTACATGTATCTTGGTTTAATTCATGTCATCTTAAATAGCTTGTCAAACTATTTTGTAGACAACTTCATTCTCGATATCCATATAGGTAGACTTATCAAGAATACTAAAGTATCTTGGGATTAAAATATGTGTTTGCAATCACTCCTATGATGTACTTTACTTATTGAAGCTAATAATTGATGTTTCAAGTGTTAGGTCGAGTTTCCATCATTGGTGACTATTAGTTGGCAACAATCTCATTCCCTTTGAAGTTTTTTAAACCAAGTCCCTTGCAAAGCATTTTGTAAAGGACCGCAAAGTTTAGGCTTGACTTGACATAGGCTTTGGTAACTATTATCATCCAAAATAAGTTGTCTTAGTGAACTAGGTCCTAATCCGGTATCTCTAGACTTACCATAGCATATTTGACTATATGCTCTAGACAAAGTAGCTTTACTGTTGCAGTGAATTGAAATCGATGGGCCAAAGAGGAATTCAGGAGGAGCCATTGCAAATCTTCTTGAAATAGAGTCTAAGATTGTTAGAGAATGGATTCCTTTACAATGGCTGTTTGAACAACTCTGCAGTAGATTCAAAGGCATGGAATAGCACTTTCCTTAAGACTTTATTTACCCCCTTACAAATGAGTCCATAGGGATCCAAATAAGTCTACAAGATGCAATGGAATCAAAATAGATTTTTGTTGACATTATACACTAATGACAAACCGAACACCTTAGATAAAAAGAATGTATATGAAAGTCTTTGATATCGGGTTCTGCAGTATAATAGGCACGAAGGAAGGTTTCATAGGAAACAAGAACTCAAGAATAACAAGAAAAGAAAATAGAACATGAAGAAAACAAGATTTTCATTTATATCCAAATGAAAAATTTAATCTCTATATATAGATGTGTTGACACACAAAAAAGTGTAACTCAAACTGAATAATCCTAGGGATGAAGTCCAATTGGAAAGTCCAGGATAAAGGCCCAAATAAGACCATCGATGAATGCAGTGGATGCCCACGAACAAAGTAACATCATCGTCTAAACTTGCAAAAAGCCTAGAATCTGAGAGAATGGAGTGCCTTACGGTCGCCCAAAGCGATGACCCAATTCTCACCCAAACCTTTGAATCGCCCAGAATCTTAGCAAACCTAAGATATTATGGTTATCCGGAACAGTAGTTACTAAACCAGTTATTGAGCAATCTTATCATACTCCACGATCTAAGGATCCCAGTTGTAGGCGGTTGAACGATATGAGTAATGACAATAGTTAGAGACGGCAGTTTCACGATAAATCAGTTATCATGAAGAAAGTGGGTAGTCATAGAGCAATTAAGTAGTTTTCAAGCAGTTTGTCATGAAGAAATTCTCAAGAAAGTATAAAAAGAAGAGAAGACATAGAGAAAAGGACCCCGAATCAAACACTCTCAAACAGAGAATATGTAATTTCAATTTCTTAGCTTAAATTTAAACACTTCTTCTAGTACTCGTGTGCTTGTGCCCTTTGGAGCCATTCTGTTTATTTCCAATTGTAAATCATCGCCAATAAAAACACCCATTTTTGGGACTTTGTCGCAAGAGGTATGTTCCTTACACAATCGTCTGAATCTTTTTTAATTGTGAGCGACAACTGATAAGTGTATTTTCTACACTTATTCGGGGCTTGAAACTATAGAATTTTATTGTTCTTTTGGCAAAATACAACCTAAATTGTGTTATATTGTATCATGTAGGTAAAACTCAATGTTTGATGAAAATTGGAGAAAATAAGCAAAATGTGTCAAAAAAATGGAAAAGTCCGAAGTACGGGGATCAAAGTCTACACTATAGAAGTTGAAGGACTTAATTGCATTAATTCTAAAAATGGGATGACTTGGAGAAAAATAAAGTTAATGGGCTGGACCATTTGCTGAAGACAAAAAGGGTTTCTGCTATTTGGATTCTATATATATGTGTACGTGAAAACAGAATTGAGGAGAGCAGCCGGGTGGAAGAAAATTGAGAAGAAAGCATAATTGGTGGCTGCCCTATTTTTTTATCATTATATACACACAGTAAAAGGGAGATTAGTTGCTGAATTGGGGAAGTAGATTGCCGGTTGAAATCCATCAGAAAAACACATCTAGTGGGCGGCAGATTAGTGGGCTGAAATACAATTATAAACATTCAATTGCCGGTTGATTTATACATCAAAAATCCATCA